GTGGACGACGGCTCTGTGCTATCTGGCGCTGCTGTTCGTCGTTCATGACCAGTTGATATGCTTCTCCAAGACTAGGTATAGGCTTCATGGCTAGGATTTGTGATTTGACAGTATCAAAAACATCATCCAAACCCATCAAAAAATCAAACAGCCTCTCGCTCTCACGTACCTCGCGCTGCCGTCTCTTCACGTCACAGTTGCAGCCTGCACATGTGCACTCCAATGAGGGAGTCAACGACTGAATTTCGTCCCAATAGCCACGTAACTTTGTGTAGAAGGACGATACGGAGGATTTTTCCTGCTGCAAACTAAAATGGTGGTTTTGAGCTCGTAGATACGTGGTGCACTGCCGTGACCGAAGCGGGACTGCAAATCGACCCATATCTCGCGCGAAGTTGCCGCAAAACGCACGCTGCCGCGTACCTCTTTGATCATAGAGGACTTTAACCAACCCTTAACCATGGCGTTGCACTGTCGCAAAGCCTCTGTCTCGGCTGATCCTTGTGGAGGCGGCAGAGTTCCATCCACGAAGCAAAGCTTGTTTTTCGCAATAAGCGAATCAGTGATGTCGACGACCCATTCACTATAGTTAACGTCGTTGAGAAGCTCCCCCACAAACTGACTGTTTGGACTGTCAGAATTATGGAGGACAAGATGCGGCGGCAAAACGTGGGGATTCATAGGGCCACCAGCGCCGCCAGACTTGAGCTTCGAGGGTTGTTCCGTCTCGTCGCCCGAACTCATGATGATGATAGCTAGATCTAATTAGCCAGCTCTGATACCATGTAAAATACGATAATGCGGAAGGGAAAAAGAACTCAAGAACACAGCGATTTACGTGGTTTCCCCGTTCAATGTGAACGAGACTACTCCACGGAGAGCACGAAGCTCTCGAGATAGGTTTTATTATCTTACTTCTCTCTTGAGTACAGCCGGCAATTACAAGGGGTTTTATACCCGAAACCAAAACCCTAAACTCCTATACACAAGCAACACGGAGTAAAGGAAAAAGTACAAAGTGATCCCTAATTAATGAATAATTAAGAATCACTACAATATACGTGGAAATATAAATGCTGCAGTTGGTTCCCTGACTTTGGTTTTACAAAGAGGAATTTTTATTACACTTTGAATGATCGGTTAAAGATAGTGCAATGGATCCAAATTTAAGAGTAAAACATCTCAAGAAAAATAGATGGAAACAAACCATGTTTGAGAGATACATCTAGCGAAAGAAAATAGCAAAGCCAATGCCATGTGTCGCCTCTTGGGGATTGGTCAGAGTTATGAACGATTGTATCTTTGTTATTTTTGGCAATCCAAGTGATTTTTGTTTTAAAAAATAAAGGTTATTATTCATTAAATAGTTTTTTCCTTCAAAATTTGTGGACAAATTTATTTAGTGAAATAAATCTCCACTCGTTTTGCTGTTGAACAATTATCCACCGGTCGGAGGAGATCGACGAGTTCATAGATGACAGCTGATCATGCAGCAATCTAGTTTATTGCAAAAAATTCTTCACCCTTCAATTTGTTTACCAATTATCCATTATCTGAAGGAGATCAACGAATTCACATATGTCGATTGATACATGTATTTTCATTTTTGGATCCTTATCGATTGACAAATTTTGTGAATTTTCCAACTATCCAACTAGGACAGGTTAATCACGCTCATCGGACCACGTGCATTTTGGCAATGCGTTTTCAAATTTTGAATTCTAATAGATTGAAAATCTTTTATGAGTTTTTTGACTATTCAACTAAAGGCTGACTGATCACGCTTATTGACGATGCATTTTTCACTTTTGAATCCTTGTTGATTGACAATCTTTCTGAGTTTTCTAACTATTCAAATAAATATTTTGTTTTTGCATAGAGCCCAATTTAGAATCTGACGCCCGATTGGTCATCGAGTTCAATTATGCTCATAGTATAGCAGTATATAGTGTTTTAACTTTTGGCTCGGTATTTTTAACATGGTCTTATTTGTAACTGAACAAATATTAAAATACCGTAACGGAGGTTGTACCGGAAAAGTCAGTGGTATGATATTTTATGCTGAAATCGTGGTTCAACCTTTTCATTCAGCTAAATACCACTTACCGGTTTCACTTCTTGTAGGAGGTTGTTCTGGTAGAACCGTCGGTACGCTATTGTTTTTCAATCCTTGGACTAAACACATTCTTTCTTGAACCGGAGTTAGCTTTTATTTTTCATCTATTGATTTCCCCTTTTTGAAATTTTGTATTATATGAATTTTTTTTAACATAATACTTCCTATTTACGAAAATAGAAATCCTCCAATAATATATAGTAGAGTTTTATCTACTTTCCTCTATTTCAAATTTTCTGCAACGAGAGTGAAAGTAGGAAGGACAGTTTTGTCTTTACAATTAATTATTTTTACCGGTTTCACTTCTTGTAGGAGGTTGTTCTGGTAGAACCGTCGGTACGCTACTGTTTTTCAATCCTTAAACTAAACACATTCTTTCTTGAACCGGAGTTAGCTTTTATTTTTCATCTATTGATTTCCCCTTTTTGAAATTTTGTATTATATGAATTTTTTTTAACATAATACTTCCTATTTACGAAAATAGAAATCCTCCAATAATATATAGTAGAGTTTTATCTACTTTCCTCTATTTCAAATTTTCTGCAACGAGAGTGAAAGTAGGAAGGACAGTTTTGTCTTTACAATTAATTATTTATTCCATATAAAAAAGGTCAATATCAGGATTTGAACCCGGGTCTCTTCAAATAAAGACAACAATCACAACCAATTAGACTAAACAAATTTTTTGTATATTTTTTAACACAAAACATACACGAGGTGACACTCTGAAAATTATAGGACTTTTTCATCATGATTAGCAAGCCCACTAAGTCTACCATATGTATTTTTATGGTGATTGATACATCAATTTTCATAGCAGAGTTTTATGTAGTTTCTCAATTCTATAATTACTGCTCTCTCCTTAATTGTCACTAAATGTAAATTGGTAATTGGCCAACATGGAAGAAACTAATTCTATTACTACGTGTTGTGTCCTTGCATTTTCAATTTATTTTTCAATTTGTACTTTTTTATATTTGTTCTTATATCTTTGTAACGACCTCTGAAATTTCGTCCATGGTGCAATAGTTTGCTCCCCTTCACTTCATAGTATAACGCCGCCTTTGAAAATCAGGGGTCGTTTGCTTCATGGATTTATAAACGAGGGTTTTGTAATTTAAAAATCCAAAGATTTATCAAGGATTTGAGGCATCATGGATTTGTAACAATCCTTTGTTTGTTGGGATGTTTTTCTCATGGATTTAAAGGTGTGGGATTTACTACTTGAAGTCAAAAATTACATTACTGCCCTTTTCTATATGTTTGACATGTTTATGATATGTACACAAAATAAGGACAAAACTTCAAAATTACCTTACTATCATTTTCTATATGTTTGACATGTTTATGATATGTACACAAAACAAGGACAATACATACTAATAAGCATAATGTTGCCACATGGACAATAATAATAAACGAGAAAATTCCATTTTAACTTTTAACGTAACATAATCAATTACCAATTCTTTGTCCTCCTTTTCAAAAGTAACATATAACAACATATATTAGAATCGGGAGAACAAAGAATTACACGTTCCATGAAAAGGTCAAAGAAAACTAGAACACAAGAAATGATATAAAAAATCTAACTCATGTTTGCACATTAATTGAACGTTTATATTATTCATTTATTGTTAATTATAATGTATAATAGTTAAATTTGAGGGCAACCTTGGAATATTAAAAGTGCATGAGGGTATATGGGTAAAATGTCATCAAGGATTTATGCCATATTCCAAATCCCACATCAACATGTGGGATTTATAAGTCCGTGGGGTCCACGGATTTGGACCCTTAAAATCCGTAGGCCCCACAGATTTGGTCTCCAAAAAAGGTGCAAGACTGCAAGCAAACAACGGATTGTACCTAAATCCTTGATAGTTGGTTTTTTGGTACCAAATCCATGTACAAAATCCTTGAAGCAAACGACCCCTCAATCTTCCGGTCTTTTGGCACTACGATTTTATTCTTGGGAATTTAAACTGGGCAAGTAAAAGATTTCAATTCCGATATCAATCAATGGCGAATAGAATGGAGTTCAATGAATGGAGGTGTCGAAGGAGGATTAAAAATTGAATTTTTAGTTGAAATTTACGCCTTGAGATTGAAGATATAATGGATAAAAATTTATTGTACAACGGATAGTGGTGGCTATTGGATCTTTAGGTTTATGGTTTTTGAAGCTATGGTGACCTAATTATATCTTAAAACGAGGAATCATCGATTGATTTACTGAAGTAGGTCGGTCGATTCTTTATTCAACCTACTGAAACTGATAGAGAAGGAGTGTCTAATTTTGTTCCTTATTACTTTGATAGAGGCCTAATTTGACGTTTGCTCTCAAGTTGTGATGGTCCCCTCTTAGGTGAGTTGTTAGCATATAGTTGACTTGAATCAACAACTCTCTATTTCTTTTTGATGAGTGGAATATTGTTTTAAAATGAAAGCATTGAACCTTTATGTAGGATTGTGAGGTTTAAAATTTAGTTTCAAACTATCTATGGTTCGTGAGGGAATTTCAGTGAGCTTTTATACTCTATATTTCTTGATTATCAACTAACCAATAGCATTTTAACGGGAACTTAATTATCATTATGAAAATGAGATCAATGTTACATTTTTATATTTCTTCAAATTTTCGATCTATATATTCTTTATATATGTATCATCTCGATCGAAGGATTGTCAATAAAATTAAACGGGTTGATAGATTTAAACGTAACATAAAAATATAAATAATCAAATATGAATATTCCGGCCAACGGGCCGGGTTATAAGCTACTCTTAATAAAAACAAGAGTTGAACACTAGCTCGGACTTTCAACTTACTATATAGTAAATTCCCATTAATTACCGCAGTTCTTAACTTCTTATTCAACTCTGATAAGATCTATCTTCATTAGCTGAGTGCCGTTTACATTCTGTGATATGGTGAATTCCCACAAGTTGAATCACAAATCTACATGGTAGTGGTGACGTATTTCCGGGTTGACATTCAATTTTGACAACGCCGCAAAGACACAGCAATAGACAAGTTCAAGGGCCTTGACAACTTCAAGCTGCTAGCTAGCAGCGCCTTGACATTCTTGCAATTCGTCAATTGACCAATGTACAATCCGTACTCAATTTCACAAAATCTGGTCCACTCTATTCGTTGAATAGTTAGAATTAGGTTATGTTGCTGAGGGCAACCAAGGCATCAAAGGGATCCGTGGCGCAATGGTAGCGCGTCTGACTCCAGATCAGAAGGTTGCGTGTTCGATTCACGTCGGGTTCAATCCCCGTTTCCCAATGTTTTTGAAATTTTTTCTTTTTCACCCACAAATATGGAACCAAATATCAATTATGAGAAGAGCAATCAAAAAGGTCTACAGCCTAGTCACCCATTTTTCCAGTCGAAGTTGCTTCAATGGAGGCCCCATGACAGGCTTGCTCCTCTGAGGACATTTCCACTTCCCGGTGATCTCACTGTGCTGCACAACATTTGGACTTCTTTCAGATAGAGCCTTTCTGTTTCCCGATGAATCATCCTTCGCTGCATTGTCATATGATGATGAAAAATTCTTCCTCCTCTCACTCTTGAAGCCTTTCGGTGCAACAATCCTCGATCCTTGACAGGAGTTCTCGTCGTAGTTCAGCCTTGTGATCCTGTTCTTCTTCCTTGTTGCCACAAACCCACTTGCAGAAGAAGCTGCATTTTTTGCTTCTTGATCGGTAATGTTGCTTCCATCGTTTGATTCTGCGATCAACTTGGCATTGCTTTCATCTGATTCTGCTGCTTTTGACTCCTCAAATGAATGTGCATCTAAACCAGGAGTCAACTTAGTTGGAGATTTCTTGTTACTGTTATGAATCTTGTAGGTTTCCAAGCTCTTCATCGCCTTGGGGATGCTCTACAATTGATATGCCACAGAATCATGAATCAAGCTACATCAACCAGATGATTAGAAGTTGACTTAGTAGTAGGTAGGAGACAAGTGAAATAATGCTACCATAGCTGAATGCAGGAGGTGGCTGTGGTTATTATTTCTTGAGGAGCTGTTACAATGCAAACGGGCATCAAGTTTGAATTCCCTATCAATGTTCCCTTGATCCATGTCTATGCATTGAGATTTCATTTCTTCTACTCTGTTTCCTTCCCCGTTAATGATAACGTCGTCAGTATGTTGCAACTCAGATTCGGCGAATCGATTGCTTTCTTCACCCGGCGCAGGAGATTCGTATGCATAACTGGAGAACCAGTTCCTGATGTCAGGTGGCTCTGGAAGCGTTGAAAGTGTAGGACAAGTTAAGCAACTGCAAGTTCTGGTCAGGTGAATAAGAATAGAAGTTTCACAATAGATAGTTACCAGATAGGAGTGCTGATGGTGACTGGGAAAGAGGATCCTGAAACAATGAACATTGGTCAAGAGTTGGTCCAATCACCACCTTACATTTTGTTAAAGCTCATTAACAACTTCAAGAACAACACAACATAGGCCACAAGCAGCATACTTCAAAGACAAAAGAATGGCCATTCTGTGTAATGTTGCATTTGGTTCAAGATGGAGGGAAACAAAGGACTCACCATTGTCAAAGGGATGTCTTCATTTGCTTCGCCCAACTTGCAATCATTTACGAAGTACTCATCTGACAGAGGCAGCTTTTCAAGAGTCTCATTGCGTTCCTTGATAAAGCCATCTTCACTTCCTTGAGTTTCCCAAACAGCAGCACTCTCAGGTTCATCATCAGGAACCAACCCACCAGAGTCTGATACATAGCTCGAAATCCAGTTTTCAGGGTGTTCAGGTTCTGAAAACAAAGGATCAAAGAAACAAGTTGCCACACATTATACTGACCATTCACATGGATCACCTAACTGATACGAACTCTTGAATTTCAGTCTGGAAAACTACTTAAGTATAAGATATTCAGACTACTAACCATTAAGGAATGGCGGCGAGCATGAAGGTTCTGACCCCTACAAGAATGAAATGAAGGAAAATATGACAACACTTAATGGACACCAAAGACACCGGAAGTACCCAGTGTAAGCAATCCTACTGTAATACTTACTACAATGAAAGCTTATAGAACCCTCATGGCGTACATATGTGATATAAACCCTCATGAAGAACCAAAACTAATGACTGGAGTAGCAATTGATACTGGTTCAAGATGGAGATGGAAAAGTAAGAAATAACTCACCAAAGGCCTGTCTTCATTTCCTTCTCTATACAGAAACTCATTTGCGATTACCTCATCCGAGGAAGGTGGCTTTTCAAGAGTTTTCTCCTCCGAATTCTCAAAATGCGGTTCTCTGTTGATGCCTTCCTCGATAAAGGCACCTTCGTTGCCTTGACTTTCCCAAATAGCAGGCGTCTCAAGTTCTCCATCATGATCCAGCCCACCAGAGTCAGACACATAGCTAGAAACCCAGTTTTCTGGGTGATTAGGTTCTGAAATAGACATTTATGATACAAGTTACCATTCACATTATACTGATCATCCATATGGAAATCTAACTGATTGGAACTCTCTTGAAAACTACTAAAACCAAAGAAAGAACTCCTATTCACAACACTAACCATTAAGGAAAGCTGGAGAGTATGAAGATTCCGGAGCCTACAAGAACGAAAGTACATGTAAGCAAAACATGACAACTCCAAATATTCACCAAAATATACAGCGAGTACTCACTAGAAGCACTCCTGATGGGATAATTACTACAGTGCAGAGCTTAGGGAACTCAAACACTTGAATTCAACCCTTGATTAAATGGGCCAATGAAGCAAAATTGATAGCGGAAATGGCATACATACAGTATGTTAACCCTAATGAAAACCAAAACTGATAACTAGATTAGTGATTGATACTGGTTCAAGCTCCATTACCTCACTCCCATCGCCGCAGTCACCAGTTTCCAGGTGTTCACTCAAATTCCCATCATCATTTGCCCTGATTTTTTCTGCAACATCAACAATAGAGGGATCTTCCTGACCTCGGCTTCTGAATGCATCATCGTAAGTATCCAGAACGAAAGAGTCATATTGGTAGCCAGAAAACCAATTCCTTAAATCAGGAGGCTCTGCAAGCAAAATGGGGGAAAACCAGCTTACAAAAGTCTGAACCAGAGAGAGAGCACTAATCACAAAATAACTGCTTAGAGTTACCTGAAGGAAGCGAGAGCGAATCCGAAGAGTGGGAAGCCTGCAAATCGACATTACCCATATCCAAAGTCAGCACCTTTTTGTTTTCAAGTTTCTCAGGAATCAAACAGAAGAAATGAGACGGAGATAGAGAAATGGGATATTGAATTCGAGGATCCTTACTTCGGAATCAGTCATGCTTTCCATAGATTAGAAGTCCGAGCACTGGGAAGAAGATGGGGGAACCAGAAGAAGAATAAAAATACACACAAAAAGTTTTGAGCTTTTCGAAATATACCGTCCCGCGGGACTCCTTTGGCGCCATGGAAATTTTCGAGGGAAAAATGAAAATGGTGGTAAAATTACCGCGCAACTCTGAAATTAAAAATGGTTAATTTTCGGACTTTGGTCAGGGAATATTACAAAACAGTCACCGCCGCCGCCCACTTGTTCATTCTTCTGCTCGCCTTCCTATCCCGCGGCTGAAGTCTCACAGTAATCAGTATCCAATCAAGAAACTTCAAGTATTCAACAATTCTGCTTAAGAAATGGGAGCTCTGAGGATGGTTACGAGATCTCTGACCCGCCATTACTCGAAGAAGAATTCGGTACCATTCAAATTACATCATCAGTATCAGAATTTGAGGACGCTGATTTTGGAGCCCTTATCGTCGGAATCAGTGCAGGTGCGGCGGCTCTCCGACGCCGATTCTGGTAAGAGATTCAATTTGAGCTTGCCGGGGGAAAGAAACCCAGAGAAGAAATCAGTTTGCTGGATGTGTTTGGTTGCAGGTATAGTTGAGGTGAATTTGCACAGGCCGGAAACGAAGAACGCGATTGGCAACGAGATGTTGCGAGGGTTGAGGCATACTTTCGAGACGCTGGAGATGGACGACGAAGCCAACGTAGTGATGATCTCTAGCTCCGTTCCTAAGGCGTTTTGTGCTGGGGCTGATTTGAAGGTAAAACTTAGGGCTTTGAATCGAGAGTTAAACTTTTCATTCCATCATGTCGGAATTGAGATGGAATCGAATGAGACGATTTCGATTCGAGCAAAGACAGAAAAGAAATTTTGATATTTGTATTAAGCGGAGTACTGTTCTTGATTTCTCTTAACTCAATTGGAATTTGTTCTTGGCTTGGCTAACTCATCTACACTCTTGGCGATTACTTCAATTTGGGTTTCCATATTTGCTTTACTTCTTTCAGACAAACTTCATATCTTGCTATGTGATTATGCCCAGTAAACTATCACAAAAAGAATCTATCTTGAAGTATGAATAAGAATGGAGCTTTGATAAGATTGACTAATGCTGCAGTCTTTTTCGCTTGGATGGACAGGAACGCAAGGAAATGATTGCATCAGAAGTTCAGTTCTTCGTCAACTCATTGCGATCTACATTTGCACTCTTAGAGGTACCGTACTTGCAATATAATTAAACTGCTGTTAGTGTCTGCATTGAACGCCGAATGAAGGAAAATCGTGTCTTTGTAAGTGTCATTCAGCGGAGCTTCCCTGCAACCTTTGACCACATGAAGATTATAGTCTGATGTATTCAAAATGGTACTGCATTATATTAATCCAGGCTCTTCGTGTTCCCACTATTGCTGTTATTGAAGGAGCAGCATTGGGCGGTGGACTCGAAATGGCTTTGTCATGTGATCTCCGGATTTGTGGTTAGTACTGAGTAATTAAGAGTATGTAATACTGTACATTACTGATATCACTTCATGCTCTAACTGACATAAATTCAATTTTATTCAGGAGAAAATGCAGTTCTGGGATTGCCAGAAACAGGGCTTGCTATAATTCCTGGGTATGTGTTCTGTCAACATTAGTTCTTTGTAATATTGGAGCCTTCTTATCACAGACAGTAGTATTATCTGATAACGGCTTAGCCTTATATAGTTTCCTAAAGTTACTCTCTCGGAAAGATATCACAGTCTCTAATACAATTTGCTTAACAGGGCTGGTGGGACTCAAAGACTTCCTCGACTAGTTGGGAAAGCAGTGGCGAAAGAACTTATATTTACAGGGCGAAGGATTAAAGCCAAAGAGGCAATGTCCATCGGTATAAGATTTGCGTCTTTTTGTATTATGTTTTGTATGTGCTTTATAGGGTATGTTGTCCATCAGCATTCAGCTTTAACAATGAGTCAATTCCACAGGCCTCGCCAATTATACTGTACCTGCTGGGGAAGCTCGTCCAAAAGCGCTTGAAATTGCTCGAGAAATCAACAGCAAGGTACAAGAATTATTATCCTTTATGATTCTAATCCTCAGGAGCTCTTGAATTGTAAGTAAAATAGGTTGTTTAGATTGCGGAAACCAAATCGGAGATTGTGTTGTTAATAGGCTTGAAAAATATGCCAGGGTCCAATAGCGATCAGGATGGCGAAGAAGGCCATCAACGAGGGTATCGAAGTTGATCTGCAGGCTGCACTGGACTTGGAAGAAGAGTGTTACGAGCAGCTGCTGAACACGAAGGATCGACTGGAAGGCCTGGCAGCATTTGCAGAAAAGCGAAAGCCGAGATACAGAGGGGAGTAATGGTGGAAGTACCCCCTCCTTGATACTTTTGCTGGCACAACCAGTTTCTAGGGAAGTTTGCGCTAATCTACTTGAGCTTTGACATCGATTCGTGCATGTTATGTTGCTATGAAGCTTGAAGTGTGCACATATTCACCGTTCATTGTAATGATGACGATGATTATGATCCGTGTCATACTTTGATGTGGCTGGCTGGCTGCTGTGTTTCTATATTGCTTGTGCTGTCGTAGCCTACTAATCGGTTTATACGGGTTGAACTGCATATTGTTGAATTTCTCTGCCAAAGCTCTTGGGCCTCCTAACACACTGTATCCACTTCACATTGAATTGGCTTGCATGTATTGTATCATTTCGTCTAATTTCGTTTCTTCCATCAAATGGATAATTAGGCTACCGTGGCACTTGAATATTAGGGCTAGAACGTTTCTTCCATCAAATCAAAGAAAAGAAATGACATATAAAACTAATGCAAACTCCAAGTTATTGCAATTAAGGGGTGGTTTGGAGAATATGAATTTAAATCTATAGATTGTCAACAATCTAAAGATTCTAACTCTCCATATTGTTGAAAACAGATTTTAAAATGTTTATTGTTTAGTAACTGTGATTGTTAGCATTCAATTAAAATAAAAAATTTAATTTTATATTAAATAAAATTTGTATCCTTAATAAAAAAAATTAGAGTGGTTCAATAAATATTAAAAACTTTGTTGATAAATATATTTCATGTGATAAATAAGTAAAAGTAAGAGAAAAACTAGGAGAAAAAAAAATCTCATGAATCAAGATATAGAATCTCTCTGATTATGAGATATTTGATATCCGCAGATTTTAGAGATTTGAAATCTCTAAAGCTAGAATCTACCATACAGAAAGCAACAAAAAAAACATAACTTTCTATAAAATCTACGGATTCAGTGAATTCATGTCCTGAATCCTGTTCTCCAAACGACCCCTAAGTAATTTGTTCGTTAGTATGGTATCACCGTATCAAAATCTTAAACCAAGAGGTTATCATTTCGAATTGTTATGATGATCCGCAATATAAACAATGGTTTAGCACAAGGGAAGCGACATTTGTCTGAGGCTGCGTGTAAAAAGAAAATGAATGACATATAAAACTCATACAAACTCATTTAAAACAACAACGAGTTATATGGACTAAGTGGTTTGTTCGTCGACACAAATCGAACGGATGGAAGGAATCAAAAGTACAAAAATCATTAGTATCTCATCTTACTATATTATATCAAGTATCAACATCGTTAAACACTATTAGCAACTAGCAAGAGGATAAAATATCACATGCATCCCCTAACGAAATTTAATAAACCCAAAGTGAGGGGGATTATAGCTACTAATTGAAAGTAGAAAGAATCTGCATGTGACACAAAATAAAAATGTACGTGTGGGTCATTCGATAGAGGATTGGTAATTAGTCGTTTAAGCAAATATTACCTTAGGGTTCTTTGTTCACTATATATGTTGGAATGGCAATTCGTTGCATGTCTTCCCGTTTTGGAGAAGGAAAACCTCTCTTGTTGTCAGGGTAGGTGACAACCCAAAACAGTTAATGCTAATTTATTCACGTATTTTTTACTCATTCACGTTATTTGGTGTGTATTCACGTAATACTATGTTTATTCACGTAAGAGTGTAAGTTATTCACGTAAATGAAAATTCAAACTTTTTCCCCCTAATAATTTGTATTGGTTATATTTTATGAAATTAAATTTGGATTCTCAATTAGTCTGTAAAATATGTTGCATTGATCATAATCTACACAATGACATCCATTTTGATATATTTTAACGTCTAAAATTTAATTTTACAATGGCGTGAATAAATAACCATATGCGTGAATAAACACCAGGTTGCGTGACTAACAAATATTGATTGCGTGAATAAGCAACACTCTTACATAAATAACGTCAATATAGTGTGAATAATGCAAATATAACGTAAATAAATAAATAAAATGCGTGAATTAGGTGTTCTTGTCTTTATTCTTTGGAGAATGGACACTTATCACCGGCCAGTGTTGCGTACGACTTTCTCTCATTACTCACGCACTCGTTTCGCTTGTAAAGTTGGATTATTTTTTGAAGATTTATCGGGAGTTGTTGGATGTGAAAATAATAATCATATATAAATATGCGTTTAATACGTGTGTATGATTTGAATGGATCAAGACCTTCTACAAAACTAGTACAATTTAGTTGATGAATTATGACACACAAGATGAAACAAAAATGAATGTTGATTGCGGTAGTTAATTTCTATATAGAAAGATATTGAATACGGTAGTTAATTAGTGCTCGCCTAAATATGTACGTTGAGATGTCTAACAATAGGATATTGCTCTTCTCCTATAGTATATATGGATCGGATAAAAAGAATGTAGAGCTAGCTAGCTAGCTAATTGGAACGTGTTAGGGTCATTACTCAAAATTGAGTAATCACGGTGACTACTAAAATCTACACTCTCCATTATCTCCATTTCACCCTAATTTTGATTTGACAATGAGGATTAGATTAAGGGTAATTTTGAAAATAAAAAAATACCACACCTTATTTTTATGCTTTAAAAAATTAATTTCTATATATTATGTACCTAAACCCTACTCCAGCCTCATTCTCTATCGGTGGTTCCCTTCCTCCGCTGGCTGCCACCCTCCCAAAGGCAGCCAACCTCCCTCCTACTGCCGGCAACCACCCACCACTCCGGCTACCCTCGCCAACCGTTGCGGACACCCTCTTCCTTCTTCTTCTTCTTCTTCTTCTTCTTCTTTTCTCTCTCTCTCTCTCTCTCTCTCTCTCTCTCTCTCTCTCTCTCTATTCATGCCGGTGGTGGCTGTTCTTTGCAGGATTTGACGGTCTCGTAATTGGGTGGTATTTGAGGGAAGTAATTTGGGATTTCGGCCTTGATGAGACAATTTAATCAACAATATAAGGAGTGTGTCAGTTTTTCGGTGGACCGAGTATTCCAGTCTTCTGTCCCTCTGGTCCATCACCTGGCCCGGGGGGGGGGGGGGGGGGTACGTCGACGATTTGTATGTGAGATGGGGCTACTAGGAGAGGGTCTCCCTCGACAGGTGGGATGGTTATTATGAACCAAGAGCGGGAAATTCTTTTGGCTTCTAGGATCCAGTTTCAGTTGATTGATGACCATATGGTGGTTGGGTTGCTTGTTCTCCGGGAGGCTATTATGTGGTGCATGGCCTGCGGATTCACGGAGAGATGTTTGAAGGTGATGTCAAAGTGGTTATCGAGAAGATCATTCGAGCTGATACGAGGGATAACCTGATGGGTGCTATTCTCGAAGTGTTGGTGCATTATTTTGCTACTCATATTGGGTTTAATGTTTGATTTGTAGGGCGGCGTTGCAATAGGGTAGTCCATTTGGTGGCTAGAAAGGCCCTATCATTGTATCCGACTATGTGTCGATTCTTTGATTTTCAGACCTAGCTGAATTTCAAAATGTAACTACCCCTAAATCAAATTTCTTCAATCTATAATTGTTACATAAGTTGATGATGAATGGAAAGCTCACACCTCCGAGTGAGCATTTCGTCAAATCTTATTCTTTTCAATCTTCTCATGGTAACTGAACGCCGCTCATGCAGATCCACTCTCACTTCAATCTAAAGTTTCTATCAATCTTTTTTTCCTTTTTTCTCTTCTATTTGAGTTCTTCTTGTTTCAACTATGGATATATCCTCCCTATTTGATTATATCTTCTCCCGTCGATCGTAGTTTCTCCAGAGATATAGGCCTAAGTTCAGGTCCTTAAGACCTATTCTTTAAGGAGAAACTTAAAGCAATCCTATTGATTGCTGGGTTTTTAGTTAGTTATTAGGAAGTTATAAGTTAATTAGTTAGTAAGGGTATTTAGGGAATCATAATTAATATTAAAATTATAATAATTAACCCTAATAACTTATTTACCCACGTATTCATTCGTACCCAGCCATACCGCAAGTCTCCTCAAATTCCATCGCTGCCTTTCGTTTCCCCCGTCGTTTGTCCCTCCCTCAATCACGCTCCTGGCGTCCGGCGTTCTCGTTTGTGCGGTCGGCGTTTTTCTGTGATAGTTGTCCATCGTTTCGGTTGCCGAGTTCCTCGTTGCCGTCGAGTTCACTAACAACAACGTCGCTCCCGTCCTTCCCCTTTGTCGTCGTCGGTCCACTAGCATGTCGCTTGCCTGAGTTCCCTCAACAACAAGCTCCTTAGTTCTGTCAACATCGACTTCACTCCGGATTTCGGCGTCGCTCTCGTCCGGCCAAAATTCCTTCCTGCGGCAATCCCCTCTTGCGTCGGTCCCTTCCGGCGTGTCTTCCTTCCGTCGTCGGTATTCTCTGACATCGTTGTTGCCTGTTGGTATAAATGTATAATGGTATTCTCTTGTCTTATTATTAATGATATTTGACCGGCTTTTTAAGAATGTCATATGGCATTATTAACCTTTTTTGCTATCAACTATTTATTTCATTATTAACGTTAGTAGTCATTATTAAAGTTTCTATATAGCTATAAAGTTTATATGCAACCATGATTAAAGTTTCTACACAATCACTATTCTACGTTTGACGTATAAGCTTTATCAATGTTTGATATATAAGATATTAATAATGTCTAATAACGTTAATAACCATTAGTTTTCATTGCTATCAAACTTTTCTGTTGCGTTTTTAATGAATCTCATGCTAGTTATTAACCGTTGTGTGGTAGTAGCATTATTAATGTCCTTTAAGGGAGCTATCATTGTTTCCGAAGAGAGTTATCAACAATTTGTTTTTAACATTACTAACCATTAGGTCGCATCATTATCAATGATTCTGCTTGCATTTTCTACACAACACATATATGTTACTAATTGTTTATATTATGTTTGTCAATGTTTTTATGGAAATTTTATCTTTTTGTAGGTTAACGACATGACACAAACTAAGAATAGGTCATTAAGATTGTTCCTCCTATAAACCGACCTATAGAGTCCGAGCAACCGAAACAGAGAGCAATAATGATGATAGGCTGAGTCCCATGTGCAATATGTCCCTAGTGTTGAAGATGGTGAAAAATATTAGTCCTCAACGTGCTATGTGGGGTACATCCACAAGCATCGTACTATTTGTTGGTTGATAATAGAGAATTCGGGAACCCACACACACACACACACTCTCTCTCTCTCTCTCTCTATATATATATATATATATATATCTATCTATCTATCTATATATATATATGCGATTTTTGTAATGTTTGTTATTTTCTAATGACCGTGATTGGTTTTTTAAGATATCATATGTGAGTTTAATAACCACCCCATTGTTAAGGTATTTTATTATTAATGTTATTAACATATTTTGCTCGGTTTTTAATGATTTTGATCATATTTTCATAACTTAAAACCATATTATTATTTTTAGACTTCATTATTAATCTTTTTTGGGGCAGTTGTTAATTATAAATTTATCCATAATAACAATTGGATAGAGGCTTCATTCTTAACGATTTTCACTCCAACTATGAATAAAAATAATAATTAGTAATGTCTCTATTATCGTCTTTTCGATACTAAAAATAAAGAGAACACCGTCATGAGTGACTATTGTTCCACCCACCTCAAAAACATTTTCCAACTACATGTTAAAAATCCAAAATAACGTTTTCAACTTTTATAATATGATTTTTCAACGATATACAAAAACATTACCACCGTTTTCTCATGTTAATAATAATAATCATGTTAATAAATGAAACAATGTTTGTTGATAATGTTATTGAATTGCAAGCATAAGTCAAACAAATAATATAATAATAAAACATTAAGGATTACATATTAAATCATTAATAGCAAATGTTTCGTTTACTATAAAAATACAGTCATTATTAACGTTTACTATAAAATTTTACCAAATTATTTATTAACAATATCTCATCTTATGTCAATATTTATGTCAGGTATCATTAAACATTTCGATGTATTATTAACGAGATACAAAAACATATCACCTCTTCACAAATCATTTGTTGATTGTTTGCAAATTTATTATTAATGGGATGTCATCATTTTTAAATGACCAATAATTCAATCATATTTTTTTTACAATTATTAACAATGTAACAAGACGTTATCAACGTTTATGCCAAATATCATTAACAAAAATACAATCATCATTATTAACGTTTACTATAAAATTTTGGATATTTATGTAATCATTTATTAACAATATCTCGTCATTTATCAACGCTTATACCATGTATCATTAAATATTTTGATGTATTATTAACGAGATACAAAAATATTATCTTCTCTTCCCAAACCATTTGTTGATTTTTTTGCAAAACTATTATTAATGGGATGTCATGATTTTTCAAAGTAAATAATATAACATTAACAATGACCGATAATTCAATCATCAAATGTTTTTTTGACAATTATTAACAATGTAACTTGACGTTATCAACGTTTATGCATAATATCATTAAAAAAATACAGTCATCATTATTAACGTTTCCCATAAAATTTTAGGATGTTTACTAAATCATTTATTAACAATATTTCATCATTTATCCATGTTTATGCCAGATATCATTAAATATTTTTGATGTATTATTAACGAAATACAAAATATTATCATCTCTTTCCAAATCATTGTTGGTTGTTTACAAAATAATTATAAATGAGATCTCATCATTTTTCAACGTAAATCATATAACATTAACAATTACCAATCATTTAATCATTAAATATGTTGTTGACAATTATTCAAGTCTCCCCGTTATTAACAAATTAAAAATATAATTTTAATTATATTGAACCATGGTATCAATTCATCTTATTATAGATTATTAACCGACCACGTGACTATTTCTAACAATATTATATGAATTATTAACCGACGACATCATCGTTATGCTTTTTCAATAATAATATCAACATCATCAAAAGATTAATTTTGACAAGTGTCTTATTAATATTTCCAATCAACGTTATTAAAATCATGATCAACCAAATTGATCCGACCTACCATGTACCTATCAACATTCTTAAATTACGTTATTAATAATATCATCAACTTTATCAATAGTATTATCGACGTTATATTAAAATCTTATCACACGTTATTACTAGTACATATCAACTTTTTTCCATCCCTTATCAACATTTACAAATTACGATTTTAATATTTTCACCGATCAATCTACTATGAGACGTCAAATACCGACGAAAACCCCAACCCAACGACAAAAAAATCAACATAAAAAACCCAAATACCAACAAAAACCATATAAACTTTTAATGAAACCCAGTACCAAAGTCAAATGGAACTACATGTTCCATGTCTCTGGCGGCGGACCACCGAAGCGGCTACGAACGGAAGAGAAGCGCGGCGGAGGGAGACACTGTAGTCGTGGCCAGAGGGGATGTCACGCAGAACGCCGGAGAGACATCTCTTCGAAAATGGTTTTTGCTCCGTCAAGTAGGATTAATTTCCTATTTTTTGTTTTAATTATTAAGTAACTATTTTTGCTTTTAATTATTAATGACAATGTTTTTTAATTCCTTCCGTGCCCTTATGGCAGTTAAGCAATCATTGCTTTGACTTACCTCTCTCCTCTTTTTATTGGCTATAATTGACTTAAGATCCTCCTTAAGAATTGGGGTTTAAGGACCGGATCAAACCCGAGAGATATATAGGGAATTGAAACATGCATTGTATTTGGTGTAATAACTCTTTTTTTTTTAGCTCTTACCAAATAAAATTATACTATCAATCATAATAATTAATTATCTAATTCCAAAAATATGCAATTATTAAATTTCCCCATTTATCTTTTGGCAAATTGCTATAGTAGGTTCCCAAATCCTACTATGCATAAGAGTAGAAGGTCAGAGCCGGGAAAAGCAGTGAAACCAACGAGTTAGGGATTTGAAAAAAGATCGAGAAATATTATTACGGCATCGGGCAAGATAAGAGTGTTGATTACGAGTTTGATGTTGGTGTTGTTAATGGTGATGGCTGGGTCGACGATGGATGTTGCCGCGACAAACTAATTGTCATTTTTTGGATATCGTTTTATGAAATTATTGGTCTTATTAAGGAAATTTTAATAATGGACAATTATATTTAACAAGTGGAGTACGACCCAATTGCTTAAGTCTTAATTGTGTAGATGGTCTAATTCATGTTCACAACCTTGTGCGTTAGCATTTGGATGAAGCAAAATATAGTCCTGGCACGTTATAGGATTTTGTGTTCGGATAGTCTCTCTCTTTCTGAACAATATGCTCGAATGTCGATCCAAAGAATTTTAACCGGACGTCCGAAGTTATTGGCAACAACTTCAAGCCTCGCCATCGAAATTCCCACATGCAATTTCAGATTGTTCATTTCTTCGTGAACCCTCCACCATTCCCCGTTCTTCGTTCAACCACAAGCTACCTCCTTGGATTTCTCTCCACGTTTTGTCTTCTTCTTACATCAATCGCCATATTGTTTAATTTCCTCTACTTTGGTCTCAATTCATTTATATGATTTCATGCCCTTCTCTTCTTCCTTCCTCTAGTTTTTTTTTCATTTTGGTTGTGTTGTCGACTTTACCATGTCAACAGGCGGCGGAGGCAACCAAATGATAACTATCATTCCCGACGAGCTTAAGTTTGTGTGTAAGTATATGAATTTTTTTCTATTCTATGCTTTTTTATGTGGGGAATTTCCTCGTCACAAGAAAAAGAATACGAAATAGACACTTTTTGATTGTGATCTAAACATAATCAGAATTGCAACTAGAGTATTCTTATTTTGGTTGAGCATAATTGGATTATTGCATGTTTGTTTCCTATCGAGTATCTGTAACATGGGACAGGTTACGGTGATTACTACAAAGTAGTAATCACCGTGGTTACTAAGGGTAAATTGGGTATGGAAAAATAAATTATATTAATTAATTTTTTAATAAATTACATTTAAGGTAGTTACAAAAATCTATTAATTAAAAATCTCTCTTTCTCTCACTTCCGTAATCTCCAGCCAGATTTCCTTTCCATATTTTTCTCAATCTTTCTGCAAAAAAAAAAAAAAAAACGAAATCAGTACCAATCCATTAGACAAACACTACCACTTTGCAAAATATCAATACCATTGCAGAAATAAATCTATACCATTACACGAAAACTACCATTGCATAATTAAATTTATACCATTACACGAAAACTACCATTCAAGAAATAAAAACACAACCATTTCACAAAACATTAATACCATTCAAGAAATAAAAACACTACCATTTCACAAAACATCAATACCATTGCAGATTTAATCACTACCAATGCGATAAAATCAATACCAATGTAACAAAATCAATACCAATGCGACAAAATCAATACCAATGCGACAACAATAATACCAATGCGACAAAAACTATACCAATACGACAATAACACTACCACTACGAAAAAAATGACTACCATTTAAAAAAAATCACTACTGAAAAAAAATGACTACCATTTAAAAAAAAACATACCATTCCAATGGAATTCCTCCTTCCAATTGCAGAGACCAACTAAGCAAATTAGTTACAGGAAATCTCAGTCCTTGAACGACTTGAGCATGAGGCAGAGAAGGGAGGGTTGCCGAGAGAGGCTGAGCTTGCTGTTTGTCATCGGGAAGAGGAACGATGCTCTGTGGGAGGCGGTGGCGGAGACTTTTAAGGAGATTTCGGAAGCGGTGATGGAGAAGGACGAGATGAAGAGGTTGGTGCCGGTGACGGCGGCGGTGAGATCAGTGAGGTGGATGCCAGCGGCGGCGAGGACCGGTTCGATCGAGTTGGGTACGGTGGAGGCGGCGAAGGTCGGAGGACACAACGGCACCGCCGAGAAGAATAGATGGTGGGAGGCGGTGGGTTGGGTGGGAGGAGGGTAGAATTAGGGTTTGTGTATATATAGAATAATCCAATGTGGTTTATTTTTTGTTTCCAAAATTATCCTTGAGCAATCATAATCGTGAGATTAAAAAAATAGGAAAAAGATAAAAATGGATGGTGGATATTGATGTAGCCAAGGTGGCTACTAGAAATTTAGTAACCAAGCTAACTCATCCCTCTGTAACATCTCATACATTCGACGAATCACGATCTAATCTCGAAAGTTTATTTTGAACTGGTGACGCGACGATGATTTTGGAAGCCTGAACACCAAATGCATCAACATGTTCTCTTAAGTGACATCTAGAGACAATTTTACACCCCATTGTTAATCATGAATCAATCTTAATTACACATTGTTACAATTCTTTTTGGTTGTGAAATCAGTTGAGGTGGAAAAACAAAGCTTCTGTGATCTCAAAGTCGTGAACAACACAGAGAATCATGTTGCTTTCAAGGTACAGTGTATCCATTAATAATTTTTTTTGACAAGGAAGTTAATTATGTTGCTCTAGCATTCATCTAAAACAATGTTCCACCCCCTCCCTTTGCAATTAGGTCAAAACTACTTCACCTAAGAAGTACTTTGTAAGGCCAAATACTGGAGTTATACAGCCTTGGGACTCTTGTGTCATCAGAGGTACAGATCTTGTTGTTCAGTTTTCTATACCCTCTTGGAAACATTTGAATTTTTTAAACCCAAATCGCAAATCCAACTCAAATCCATCTGGTTAAAACCGGTCATATACCTGTAGTAACCCGACGCTAACTGACCTAACTCGACCTTCAACTCATCGCATATTGAGATCCAGCATACCTGACCAAATTTTTTTTTTTTTAATGTATGGATTTGTATACAATTAATACTTACAGTTACATTGCAAGCACAAAAGGAGTGCCCACCAGATATGCAATGCAAAGACAAATTCTTGTTGCAAAGCACAACAGTGCCTCAGCTAACTGATGTAGATGACCTTCCTTCGGATTTAGTAAGAATCTAATTCACATGAACAGTAATGAATTACTTTTTTTCCATTCTTTGTGCACATTAGATTTAGTTATAACATATATTTGCCTTGCCAGTTCACCAAAGAAAGCAATGGGAAGGTGGAGGAGTGCAAGCTCAGAGTTCTATACATTCCTCCCTCATCCACAGCTCAAGGGAATGGAGAAGAAGATGGCCTCAGTAGCTGCAGACAGAGCTTTGATGGCAATTTCGTGAGTTCATTTCTTGATCAGCTCTTGATGTTAGTCAGGGGCAGGCATGGTCTCCTCTGGTCCAGAATCGAAGAGTATCGAAAATTGGCCGCACCCAAAAATAAAGGGAAAGCGAGGGTCAAAATCGATTAAATGTGCATTTGGTTTGATTCAGTTCGGACTATACATTGCATTTTGATTCATATTTTTTACTGTTGTTTTGAGATAATTCATGGTATCATACTCTAGCCTACCCGATTGATTTCATAAGATGTGTTCCATCAGGCATTGCAACGGTTGAAAGAAGAAAGGGATGGAGTTGTAAATAAGACACAACAGTTGCAGCAAGAACTAGTGAGTTCCGATTTTTTTGTCATTGGTACCTTGTTTAATAAGTAATGCACATATAGGTCCCATATATAGTACTATTGACTTTTTAGTATATCTAAATCTAAGTGATATATTGAGGAGGGTTGTTATAGCACTTTTGGGATACTCAATTAGGTATCATAAATTTAGAAGATTTGCTTACCTGTGGTATCCAATAGATAAATTTTTAAACAAAAGAACTGTTCATTTGCTTTAGGATTTGTTGAAGCGTCGAAAATATCGAGAAAAGGGTTCAGGATTCTCAATCACATTTGCATTGGTGGCGGGGCTTATCGGCATCGTCCTTGGTGTTTTGATCAAACTTTGGTTTTCTTCTCCATCGGCTGTAGAAAATACGGAGATTTTGACAGAGATTTTAACGCCACCCCCAGAATTATAAGTTTTTTTTATTATTTTTTCCAGTTTTCCATAATCTCCAATATATTTTTTTAGCCCTGCATTTGATCTTGTTTTGTATGTTAAAAAAAGATTAAAAAAATACAATGATGATGGACGAATCCTTCTCCTTTGTTTTAATTTTTTTGCCATATTTTGTATATTGATCGTTGCAAAAACATACAAAAGAATTGTATGATCTCTTATTGTCGGTTGCGCGTTACCATTATTTAGAATTGTTATAAATCTTACATGTATTACTTCACAGATTCATTGGAGAAACACATTAATAAGTCTAGGATTATCATTGTTTAGATTCATCATTTGCAAGGTTAAGTACTACCAAAAAAAAAGATCATTTGCAAGGTTAAGGACTCAAATGGATATTTTGAAACTTTAAGAACTTCCAGAACTAAAACTTGGCGTTTCTAGGACTGAAATAGATATTTTTCTGAAATGCTATTGTCGCCCTAAAATTTAAATTTTATAGCCCTAAATGACACAAAATGACAAGGTATTGGCGGGAAACTAGCACGCTCCAACTCTCAAAAAAGGGGAAATAGGCAAATCTCCTAAATCCCGCGCCCTTCCCAAATCTCTATCCCGCTCCTCTCTCTCTCTCCCTCTCTCCATCTCCAGCTCCGCCGCCGTTACCGGAGCCCCAAAGCTTCCGGTTAAGTGCTATTTCCCTCCTACAAACTCGCTATGCGGACCCAATCACCCGTCTCCGGACACGAACTCGCCGTACGGGAGACGCTCTCCGTCGTCGCCAACACCGCCGCCGCGGGGTCCGATTCACAGAAGGCATGGTACCTTCTATATCTAGTATTTTCAATCGGCCGACCGGCGACGCTTCTCGAGGTAGCATCTCGCTGCGCTCCATTCCGAGCGACGCCGGATTCAGTCCGCAGTCTTTGCTCGCTCCTGGACTCGCCTATCGCGTTAACCTGCAGTGGCCGAAATGGCGCGTGCGTGACCGCTTCTATGCTCGGTCAGGAGGCAATTAGAAGGTTATTGTCTAATTCCGAGTCGATTCACCGGTTTCTGATTCGGATTGGTGTGGGATTGGGCGTTGATTTAGTCGGAGGAGCGCCGCCGCTTCAGGATTCAGTGAGGATGTACTTCAGTAAAAGGAAGCGCATCGGATTCGTCCCTCAAGGAGAAGGTGAAGTTTCTTCGCCATTTCTGCTATTTCATTTCCCTGTCAAATTGATTGATTCTGTTTGGTTCTACTTTTGTCTTTCTTTTGCCCTAATTTTTTGTCCTTCGTTCATGCATATGGTCGCTTGCAGTGGAGAATGAAGATCCAAATGTTTCTCGTCCTGTCAAAAGAATTCGTACTACTGGATTAAAGGTATTCCGCTATAGCTGCAGCACTTGCTGCTTTAATAACGGGTTCTCAGAGTTCGGGGATTTCCATTAGTTGTATGAGAATCAGTACAGTTCAGTTTCTTAAAGCTAGTTGAATTCTGTTCAATTTCAGGTTCCTTTCTCTCTGTCGAAATTGATGGAACTTCGCGTAAGTAATTTGACTCAGTTTCCAGAATGCTTTCCAAAAACCGTAGTCAGTAGGTTAGATTATAGACTGAAGGACAATAGACAGATAGAAGATGAGTATGATCCACCTGCAATATCGGAAGGAGACGAGGGGAAAACAGTTTCTATTGCTGAGGTTTCCGAGGAGCTTGGTAATCAAGCTGTGAAAAGTGACGATCTCATGGAAGTCATGCTAAGTACTATGGCACTGATTCCGGAATGGTCTCCAGAAATTGTTCTCGGTAGATTAGATTGTAGACTGCAGGATGTCAAGCAGATAGAAGATGAGCATGTTTCAACTGCGATAATGGAAAGAGAGAAGCAGAAACCAGTCAGTTCTGATGGGCATATGGACATAATGGTAAATGATAGAGTTCATGTTCCAGAATGCTTGCTGAAAACAGTTGACAGCAGTTCAGACTCTAGATCGAAGGATGCCATGCAGCTAGAAGATGAGCCTATTCCAACTGCAATAGTGGAAGGTAAGGTGCAGAAAGCAGTTGCTTCAGCTAGGAAAGTTGATAATCATGAATCAGATCGTGATGTTATAGTAAATGAGAAGGTAGAACACTGCATAAGAAGCAATGTAGAAGCTGGAACTTGCAATAGAGAAGTCCAGGATAGTACTATGATTCCAGTGGAGCGTGATATGATTGTTAACGACTCCTTTGATTCCAGTAATCAGATCGGCGATGAAGGTTTAAAGATCATACATGATAGAGAAATTGAGTTCGGTGGAACTCAAACAGAAGCTGGAACAAGCAGTGTGGCACTAAAAACTGGCCTTTGTGGCATGCCAACTGCAAATGGATGTGAAGAAACGAAAATCGAGGCAACTTCAATAAAAGAACTAGTTACCATTGTTGGTAGCATTCAAACAGAAGCTAGACCTAGCATTGCAACACTTAAAACTGGCCTCTGTGGCATGCCAATCGAAGATGGCTGTGAAGAAAAAAAGATGCAGGAATGTTCGAAAAAAGAGCTAGTTACTACTGATGCAAACAAAGAGGATTGCTTTAAGACACTTGATTTATCTGTTACCGAGAAACATTTGCAGAAGTCCTCTGCCAAGACTAGGTTTGCAAAGGGAAATAGAATGTCTTCAAGGCATCTAGCTCTCCGCAAGTCCATTGATAAAGTCAAACCCGAAAGCCCGGTCAAAAGGCAGCAGGGAAATGAGCACCACATAAGACATTCCATTCCCCCAACTTCAAAGCGAAAACATGACGATGTGCAAGCAGGAGAAGGAAGGAAAGATGCTGCTGCTGCTGCCACTTCCAATGTAAGCTCTAATACAGAAGGCTGTGTAAATACGTCTAGTTGTATGTTTAGTCATTACACTGGTGTATTATCTTGGAGGTGATTATATAGTGAAGTTGTGCCATTAGTTGACTAGATTTGTCTTTGTTTGTAGGATCAAGTCAAACCGAAAGGCCTACCTACCTTTGAATCCTACATTGTTGACGAGGAGGAAGGTTCAGGTACGAATTTGTTCTCTTTCTGGCTTAGTTTCTCCTTGTAGCCACATTCTTTTGCATTGTATTGCTAATTTGGAAATCCAAACTTTCAGGTGGCTATGGTACTGTATATAGGGCAAGGAGGAAAGGCAATGGAGGGACTGTTGCCATAAAATGTAAGTGCATATAGATTATGCTCTTTTTTCTAATTCCTCTTTCTGGGATTGTTTATGGTTCTGACTATCTATCTATGCAGTCCCTCATGCAAATGCACATAAACAGCATGTTACCAATGAACAAAGGATGCTGGAGAGGTTTGGGTAAGGCTTGGACAAAAGTTCCATATAAGAAAAAATCATGCCTTTCCATTTTGTCTCTTTAATATGCTATAGCATGTATATAATTCAGGGGTAGAAACTATATCATAAGATATGAAGGCCATTTCAAGAGTGAAAATTCCGACTGTTTTGTTCTGGAGCACGTTGAGCATGATAGACCTGAGGTATTGAAGAAGGAAATTGATCTGGTTCAGATCAGGTGGTATGCATATTGCCTATTCAGAGCACTTTCCAGTCTTCATAAGCAGGCAAGAGTGTTTCCGCCATACCTAGAGTTTATCTTGAGCTCTTTACTTCTATCAAAGATCCTTATTTTGAATGGCGTGACTATTTTTTCAGGGGATTGTTCATAGAGATGTCAAACCTGGCAACTTTCTTTTCTCTCGCAAGGCTAATAAGGGTTATCTCATTGATTTCAACCTTGCCTTGGTTAGTAATACTAGTCTGTTATGTTTCATCTGTCTGACGATGTGTTCCACTTGAAATGTTACTTATAGTTGCTTCCTTTGCTTTGCAGGATCTGCACCAGAAGTGTGGAGCAAATAGTAAGTTTCTTTCTCCAGAAATCTGTATGACAATATGCCAAGTATACTTACCATGTTCCGCTTGATCCCTTTGTCAGACCTGTTAGATTTTTTTTTGGGGGGGGGGGGGGGGGGGGGGGGGGGGGGGTTCGATGTTCAAATCCATGAGTTTTTCGGCTCAGATTATATAGGTTCTGTTAAACACAACAGAAAAGGTTGACTTAAGTGAAACCGAATCCGACGTAATCAAGTAGAATGTTCTTGTGATGTATGATTTTTGGCTTTTTTTATGTTGTATGGAGTTTTGTTGGGGGTGCCTAGAGTGTAGGTGAGCAGGTTTTGAGTTCTTGTCTCCTCTGTCGTGTCCTTTTACTGATGTGCAGTTTAGTAGTCTTTTATAAGTAGTGCTGGGACTTTATAGGTCAGTCCCTTTGTACTGCTGCAGTTTTTGCAGACTTGCTGTCTTTGTTTCACTGTGTCTTCTGTAATTTCCTTTTCATCACCATTATAAAAAAAAAGTCGAATGTTCTTGTGATCACACTATGATCCTTAATTTTCTTCATTTTTTATCCGGCCTGATTGGACCAGCCCGGTCGATGCCTACTCTTAGTTTTGTGTTCTGAACTCAGAGTGGGTTAGATATTGATCTAACAATACAAGCTTACATACGATAGTGGAGTCATAGTATTACTACGATCTCGTAAAATTGTGATGATAACGCTTTTCTTCGGATCCTGCAGCCAAATTCAGGACCGGGAATGACAAAAGTTTCAGCGATGCAATGCTAAACAAGTCAGAACCTTTTCAACCTGTCAAAGCTGGGAGGGCTCAGAATCTGAAGTCTTTGGATGTAAGTCGTGAAGAATCTAAAGGCTCAAAGACCTGGAAAAAGAAGGCTGGTAACGCTTTGAAAGCTCAGAATGACATGCGTGGATGGAATCTCACACAAAGTCAGGGAGCAGAAGGCTCAGGGGTAACCTCCGTTAAAGACTTGACCAGTAATAGGACTCCTTCAGCCGAAAGGCTAAGAGAGCCTTTACCAAGCCATGGCAGGAAGGCGCTCCTGAGTTTGTTGCATGAAACAATGAACTCCCCGAATCACGAAGCATCCAGCGCTCCATCTTCTATGAGGAAGAGGGTTGCAGCTCCTCCTTCGAAGGTTGATGGAAGGCTTCTTTATGTCTCTCCAATGCCTTTGCAACCTTCTGGGATGGCTGTCACACTTAATGGATTGACCAAGGGCAAAGGTTAGTAATCCTCATGCAGTTTGGATTGCCGAAAAGCTTTTCCGGTTTACCTTAGTTAATAATATCTGCTCTTTTTTTGCTGATCATTAGACGGGAAGTTGAAGAAAGAAGGTCCTTGTGTGGGAACAAAAGGCTTCCGTGCACCAGAGGTGAGTAACTAACTAGCTAAGTTGGTTAATGTAGCTATGAATGTACTTAATTACGATACCATTATTGAACAATCTGAACCCTCATGTCGGAATGGTATTGATGCAGGTGTTGTTGAGATCACAGTATCAAGGTCCCAAGGTTGATTCTTGGTCAGCTGGGGTAACCTTACTGTATCTAATGATTGGAAGAACGCCTTTCTATGGTGAACCTGAACAGTAAGTTTCGGAGACTTGATTTTCTTAATATGAATTTTCAGAGACTTGATTGAATATATCTGTCTTGGGTTCTTAATCTAAATCTCTCATTTTATGCTATGCTGATGCTGATCTATTGTTTTGATTTTTTTTAAGGAACATAAAAGAGATAGCAAAGTTGAGGGGTAGTGAAGATCTCTGGGAAGTTGCGAAGTTACATGACCGTGAATCCTCGTTTCCACCGGTATGTGAAACCATATTCTATATGCAACTTCTGATGTGAAATGTGGGGCAAAATTTAGGGTAGGGCTATAGTTCGGTTCATTTTCTCCAGTGAAAGCTTGTTCCAAATATGAAAAATACTCGGAAGTGATTCATGGACTCGTTGCTATTGTACCTGCAGGAACTGTACAACGCTCAATCCCTACAATCTCTACCACTCCGGGAATGGTGCAAGATTAATACAAAACGGCGTGGCTTCCTTGATCAGATGCCTTCATCACTGGTCGACCTCGTTGACAAGTGTTTAACCGTAAACCCGAGGTCCAGAATCAGCTGTGAGGATGCTTTGAAGCATGAGTTTTTTGCTCCACTGCATGAGATAATCAAGAAGCACAAGCTTGCTCGTGAGGGCGATTCGACTGCATCAGCTGGACCGGGCACCACCAGGGTTCCCTTGCACAAACGAAACTCGGTTGAGCCCTTGGCCAATCTCATTTGACCATGGATCCTCAATGGTTGAATCGTGTGTTGGTTATTATTAGGTTAGCCAGCTCCCTAAATATCGTTGTGATGCTTCTAATTGACTGAAATGTTGTGTAAAAATACCTTCACTAACATGTAAGCCTTCTTAGTTTTTGAACTTTTGATCTGGTCTTTGTCAAAAAAGGGACGAAGCTCCATTTGTAACATTGTGGTTGTAATTGTAGTTGTAGCCCGGTTGGGAAACTAGCAGTTAATTAATGTTGTAAATTTAGTTGCTCTCTCTCTTTCATCTCTTCAGATCGGATTAAGCAGTGGCAAATGTCTAAAACTTTATCCATCCTGATCAACTGGCTGAAATGACTCAATTGGTCTTGATTTCATTACTGAAATCTGTTTGAGCCAGCTTGTTTTCAATAAAGAATTTGAACAGACTAGCTCTAATCCCTCTGATATTGAATATAGGATCAAGGATATAATAGAATCAGTCCATCCTAACAAAAAATGAGATTATCTCGCCCTCCAAATCTTACATGGCTCTGAGCATGCGATCTAGTCCGGTTTTCAGGTTACCTGCAACAGGAAAACCGCCTACATTGCCAAGAAAACACGGCTCCCTGTTGGAGCTGTGTGTTACACAGATTCAAACACAACAGCTGTTCGCTAACTAACTTGTGGGGAGGGCACTTTATTTTGCTCTCTTTTGGTCGGATACTCGGGCTCCAGCAATCTTCACAACTGGCTGTTCTTCCTGCGGTACGGGCTTCAATGCAGGATGAACTTTGAGATCACCCACCAGCAATTTTTCGCCAACATCCAATTCGCTTAGGTCTACTTCGATATACGGAGGGATGATATCTGCTGGGCAGAGGAACTTCACTGTCCTCTTAATCACATTCAAGTACGAACCTGTTTGAGTTTGTTTCAGAAAAACATTGACCATCAGTACATAGGACATGAATAGAGATCTCGTACAGAAATGCTGAAATGGAGTCAAATTAATGAGTTTCGGTGTCACAACGCACGAACTACTTGTGGGGTTTTCCTGCCAGAAGCAACTTATAATATGACTGGTTTGTCAAAGTAATGGCATGTACCACTTCTAAATACTAGCTGTTTCTGAAGTACATGATAACCATATAAACGTAGCACTGAGGACAGATACAAGAGAATTTCATGTTCGATATCCATGACTCTAGCGCATAGAACGGAATGAAAGAAAAAGAAAAAAAAAACAATACGCATCTTGTTCTTTGCAGTGTAACATAAAAGTGAGAACAAAAAATTATCCTAACAGCCGGAATAGCAGGATGCTTTCCATAATAGAAACAGCATTTCACCATCCCATTACACTAGACAATGACATTCCCCTCTGACCTTTCTAGACTCTTAACTTGTATGACAATATAAGACTCTTTTTTCTAGCACAGCTTTGTCACATAGGAAATAAACATTAATGCAGATTTCCCTGTTAAATTCATGCAATCTCTCTGTTATTGTCCAACAATAAGCTTAATGAAATCTCGAGTCTGTGACCCCATAAGTTTTAAATCTAATTCAGCGTATGATCTACAACTCAAATTGGAACTTTAGGGCATTCCTACTCTACCTGTACAAGGCATGGTGGCTTGTATCAGCATTTTGACCACCTCAGCTAGTCGAGTAATTCTTCTCCTAGAGGTTACAGAGGTTGCCAAGACAGGGAAGAACAATTATATAAAAAATTCAAGAACCCTCAAGTGATGCAATCCATTTCTGGCAAAGCTCGCGTTTTACCAACATCAACACAGTTGTCACTAAAGAATCTCAGGTTCTCTACATTCACAATAACCTCCTTCAATTTTTTTTTTTAAAGAGAAACCATTAAAAAAACAAGAAAAGAGGAAATGTATATCAATTCTCAAATCGCAAGTCCAATTCTGTGAAGTCTAGGAGAATCTTCCGAAGGTAAAGCTTGAGATGAAATCATAATGAATTAAAAGGAATGACTCATTTGCAAAAGTACGATCCACGTGAAGTACGTCCGAAGAGAAATCTTACCAAAAGCATGGTCCTTCTCATGCAAGATCTAAATCACCCATATGTTATACTTCCTCTGGATAAATACCTAACGAACTACTCTTAACAGTAAGAATAGAAACACTAGAAAATTTACTATCCTAGAACTGAATAACCATGCTAGTTATAACTAATGCATAGCCAAGTAGTTCCAAGGCCGGATGACATCGTAGAAAGGAAAACCACACATCGAATCACTCTCGGCAGTACACAAGTGAATCATTCGTTCAAATCACCAAGCAAATGCAATCGCACATATAGGAAAATTGAATACCAACAATATGCAGCTGAAAAGAACTTCAACTATGCTAAAGAAAAAAAAGTAAAAAAACACTAGCACATGCACTACATATTAAGCAGCTAGATTACAAAATACAAATTCCCAATACTAGCACACTGAAGACTGAACCTAACACCAGCAAATTGAACCTAGCATTCAAAAACTCAAATATAGCCCTCAAATGGTCATCTCACTGCACAAGAATCAGAGGCCTAACCTTTCCTGAGTCCAGGAGACACGTCATCTCCTATGAACACCAGAGGAATATCAACTTTCAACAGAGCCTCTGAAGGTGCCCTTATGAAGGTAACGTTCAACGGAACATCAGTTCCAGAGTGCAAATGTAGCTGCCAAACAAACAAAAGCAGAAAAATGTTGATTCAGGTACTCTTAGTCACCAATTCAGCTCAACAAAAAATCTCACCCAAATGCCCCCCATTAACATACCAATCTCGGCAAGACGCGAACTTTCTCAATAATCTCATCCTCCTTGGCAAAATCGCTCCTGACCTCGAGATCGAAAAGCCTCGACAAGAAGAAAGACCTCCCAACCTTATCCACCAAATTCCTGATGCGATTCGACTGCACCGATATCAACCGCTTATTGCCCCCATGCTGCCCGTCTTCCTGCTCGAACACGATAGCGGGCACCCTCCCGACTTTCCTCTCCTTGGCGGAAATGTTCTTCCCGGAAGAAGCTCGAGGGATGGCGAGAATCTTCTCGGCAGGGCCGGGCTTCGGGAACCCTTCGAGGTAGGTGATTGGTGCTTGGATTGCTGGCTCCTCGACGATGACGGCGGCGGCGGCGGCCGACTGGGAGAAGAAGCGCTGCTGGAGGGTTTTCGCGAGGGCGCAGCGATGGAGCCTATACATTGTGAAATGGGAAAGTGGGTAGGGAGGAAGGACGGCGAAGGGTTTAACGGGAGAGGTTTTCTCCGGGTTTTTGCAGCGTCGCGATTTTGGGGAATTTCACTTTCCCGTTTACCCCCCTCGAGGTTTGATTTGGAGGCGACGAAGAAAGATTGGCATAATTACAGAACAGTCATTTAACTTTTCCAATTACTCACAAATGAACTTTAATTCCTAGCAAACTTGCTATTGAATGTTGGAATAACAATTAGATCAAGTGGATAATATTATTATAATTAATAATTTTCTCCGTTTGTTGCCAGCTGACATGGCAATCTTTCATTGGATACGTTACGTAGCATTCGTGGCAAACTGTTTACTGTGTATTTTATTGATTTATATTTAACTGGTTTTTAGCCAATGTTTACTTAGAGGGAAAGCATCTCCAAAACCGAAACTTCTAGATTACCCCTGTTGACATTTGCCGAAAATCCCCTAAACACAAAAGTTTCCGCAGTAAATAATAGGAAAAGTATGGGTATATCCGGAAAATTGGAATCTCCATCTCCCTAGAAAGTTCATAGGCCAAGAAACGAGAAGATGCTATAAAGGGCCCCTACGTCTATTCATCGCTTTGTCATCGAACGCCCTCGAGAAAAAAGGATCAAATTCCTCTCTGATAACGAAAGATCGAACGAGTCCATTCTTCGTCTTTTTCCCGCTAATTCCTTCTCCGTGATCAGCAGCCTCTAGAGATCGTAACCGAAACAGAAGAGTTTCCGCCATGGATGCTTTCTTCGGCTCTCAATCCACTTCGAGGAGTCGCTGGAGCTACGACTCGCTCAAGAACTTCCACCAGATCTCTCCCGTTGTCCAGGCTCATCTCAAGCAGGTATTGCTCGCTTCTCATCTGTCAGCAATACCTATGGTTGTTACATTTTTTCTTGTTCGCGCCTAGTAATTGGATGGAGTCTCTCGTCGTTCGCCGCCGCGGATAGAATGAATTGCATTCTGGAACGGATTTGTGGTTTTAGTTACGCAATCGCGGTCGTTGGAGGTGTATTTAGGGTTTGAGATTTTCCTAGTTTTGCGATTTGGACTCGTATCGTCTCTCCCTTTCTATGTATGCGGATTGAAATTCGATCTTGGAAGAATGTCACGGAGGCGTTGGATTGGATTTCGGAGGCGAGCTCTTCTTGTGGCTTATGCTTTGTCGTTCAATTTAGGCTTGAAGCTTCCTGTTTGGCTTAATCACTGGAACTCTGTAAATGGAATATTCTGTTATCGTTTTGCATGATGTGTTGATCATTTAGGAAAGAAATTATAAGGTTCTGCGGTGCTCTCCTGGAATAGTTTCGCCAATTTGGTTTTAGGTTTTGGATGGATGATGGTAGGAAGAAATAGTTCGCCGAGTAGTTCGTGCTATATAATTCAGTTGTGGCTTTTGCTTTTCAATTCTGCTGTAGCAGTAATTATGTTGCTGATAATAGCCTATTTATGTTTTTCTGTGATTTTCTTGATCATCGGGAAAACAAGCAATGATGAACTACTGTGATCGTATTCAGCTTTTGGATGCTGGAAGTGCTCCTGATTTCATTCTTGTTTACAGGTCTATCTGACATTGTGCTGTGCACTGATTGCATGCGGGATAGGCTCCTACTTGCATATCCTATGGAACATTGGAGGTCTCTTGACGACTTTCGCTTGTGTGGGATCTATGGCCTGGCTGATGTCTACACCTTCATACCAAGAGGTGTAGTCAGTTACCTTCCTGGAAATGCCCTTATTTAATTTAATTTATGCTGTTATGTTTCCTTTCATCTTTGCTAACCGTATCTGTCACTTCTTGTTTATTGAACAGCAAAAGAGGGTTTCCCTTTTGATGGCAGCTGCGGTTCTTCAGGGTGCTTCTATTGGTCCTCTGATTGAGCTAGCTATTGATATTGATTCAAGGTACAAGATCAGAGTTAATTTATTTTTTCATCCCCACAACATTCCATTTATGGTGTACAGTTTTAGTAGCATCTATAGCATAATTTGGTCTATTTTAAAGCAGTGTGATTATCTGAGAGCCACTGGCTGCTCTCTTGAGAGTTAAAACTAACACATTGAACTGAAAATTTGGTAATATGCTGTGAGATCAGAGTTAAGTTTTTCATATTTGAGTGGTTTGGCTTGCATTGGTGTTGGATTCGATCTTCTGTTGGCTTCCTGCATTGCCATGTTTCTTGATCTTTCTCCCTTGACTCCCCAGTAACTTTAGGGGTACAGTTTGTGCCTAAATTGAAGAGTCTTGAGTCTTAGTGAGTCTGGTTCTCATCAGTGTGATGATTTGAGAAACCTCAATTTATTGATTTTTTCACTCTTCACTCCTGTGAAGCTAATTTAATATGGAATATGAACTTTTGGTTCTTGCAGTCTCATTGTCACAGCTTTTGTGGGGACAGCCATCTCGTTTGGTTGCTTCTCCGCGGCTGCCATGGTGGCAAAGCGTAGAGAGTATCTGTACCTTGCTGGGTTGCTCTCCTCTGGCCTTTCTATTCTCTTCTGGCTGCAGCTTGCATCCTCCATTTTTGGAGGATCTGCCTCGGTCTTCACATTTGAGGTCGGTAGATTGATTCTACCCTGCCGTTATGCTTCTCTATTTTATTCCTTTGAATGTAGTGTTAGCTAACGTTCTTCTCAAACGTTCCAGCTGTACTTTGGGCTACTGTTGTTTGTTGGCTATGTCGTAGTCGACACACAGAACATCATCGAGAGAGCTCACGTTGGTGATCTGGATTATGTGAAACACGCCCTTGAGCTGTTCACCGACTTTGTCAGCATTTTTGTCCGGATTCTCATAATCATGGTGAGTTTGTTGTCCTGTCTTGGTGATAATCTTTTTAGTGGAGGATTTGAACTGACCTGGTTCTTTATGTCTTGCAGCTGAAGAACTCGATGGAGAAGGAGAACGACAAGAAGAAGAAGAAGAGAAGAGAGTGAGGAGTAGCAGCCTCGCTGATGGGAGCATGTGCTTGAAAAAAACCACGCTGTGTTGATACTTTTAGCTTTGTTTTGTGGGATCTTGGGGCTCTACATCACCTGTCTAGCAGCGTATAACCTTTGTTGCCCTCTGTTTTCTTCCTCCCTTTCTGTTCAGTGTTGACACACCTTTTGCTTTTAGCACACGGTATAATACATAGCCATAGACCTTCAATCAAAGGATCTGTAACTGTCTAGGAGTTTTGCTTATAGAGCTAGTGGTATGGTTTGAGCTCTTTATGCAGGATACCGAAACAGTGATCATAGTAGAGGATTCGGAAAGGTCGGTGCTCCCTAATTTCTGGTAACAAGAGAAATTTGGAGTCGTTACTCTTTGCCAGATATCTTAGCTCTTAGAAATTACAACGTACAATCTTCACTTTCTTCCCTGCTCCTCGTCATGAAAACCTACGACACACATCTATCCGGTAAACAACAATAGAACCGAAAGGTGGCAGAAGCAGTACTGCTGTTGGTGGGTTTAACAAAGGCTATGCAGAGAGAACATTGAACAAATCGGTATCAAGTACGACAAGCATCAAACAAGAAGGTTACTTATGACAAGGTTGTGTGACGATACATTTACCGTCTCACTACAGTTCAAGCTGATCCAGTATCCCAGTTGAGAGTGCGTTTCATGTCCGGTTTCGAAGAACGCGAAGATACGTGTGGTGTGCCCTCTGTAGGCTGTACTGAGCAGACTATTTGAGAGAAATATCCAGAAGATAGAGCCATATGTATCAACAGAACGCACACAAATTGCATTTTTCTAATTGAAAGGCGTAGTAGGTATCAATCTATTGCATACCATTTCTGTTTGCCATAGCATTCAATTCATGAATCGTGGCACCTTGATCCTGGTCGAAAAGTTGTCCACCAACTCACACATTAACACAAGAAAGGCAGAAGAACAATTGATTATAGTGCCAAGCCCAAGCATATACCAAAATTCAGGAAGTTGAGCTCGGATCAGTGCAGTTCGCCAAAATGGCCCACTGAACTACCAAATTCGAAGTTCCGAGGAAACCCTAAAACTATACAGAAATGCTGCAGAAAGCCCCCTTGGAAAGGAGAAGCTCCCTAGGGTTTTCAGACTATATTCCACAGACCAATGACACAATTGAATGAGAGACGAGAGATAAATATTATGGGTTTATTCCAATTCAGCCATTGTTGAACTCTGGATGCAAATGAGCAAAGTAGGTAGCAAGCAAGCGGGAAGGAACTGTGATAGAGACGAGAAAATCTGGAAATGGCGGTGTCCTTGTTTCACACGGAAACATTATTTCATGATGTATTTGGTAACTTTTGTGTTTTCCTTTCTTATTCTTGCTCCAAGCCCAAAACAAACCAAAGCAGGCCGGGAAAGGATGAGGCCCAATTGGAGTGGACGGTGTCGGCCTATAACAAAGAGAATTGAGCCCAAATAAGGCTGTGTAATCTGGGCTTCTTTGAAGATTTTGGTCGGGCTTTGTCAAGCTTTTGCAATGGTTCAATCAGTTAGCGCTTGGTCGTGTGGTTAGGAGGTTGACTAAGTTTGTTCTGTGGTCTACTGTTAATTGCTTGGTACGACCACCCAAAACGACAGAAATATATAATACGTTAACCTCACAAACACCGATTACGCGTCTGCGTCGCATTTTATTACGAGAAAATTTTATAATTAACGACAATAACTTCAAGTGAAATGAAGATTAATGGATCTCAAGTTGAGAGATTTGGACATAAAAGATAACTGTGTAGATCTAATGGTTTACATCATTCTCCTCCAAATACCCCAAAAGGCCCAAAACTTAGTATGAAAGTTTCGCCATTGAGAAAAGCAGCCACCGGTGAAAGGAAAGTCCTTATTGAAAGAAAGAAAGACTTCTTCTCCTCTTCTTGTTGTCCCACTCACTTTTCAACCTTCTCTCTTTTATTCCCATAGAAAGGTTCTCTCCTATTCCCAATACCATTAGTGGGTCAATTAAGCTTCTCTACCTAATTAACTAGTTCAATGGCGATCTAAGAATGAATTTCACATTTTATAATCAAATTTATAATATATGTCATGTGACATACATCATTATTGTCATTTCTCCTGATTCATATTATTTTCAAATTGAATATTATCATGCACAATGGAAAATTCACCCACCAAATATGTATATATTAGTGAACAAATTATAGAATATTTTACTAAACTTGATGGTTTGAGAATATAACTCTACATAATATACACCAAAACTTCAAGAGATTTTTGGGTAAAAAATAGGGGTATCAACTCTTGCTCTTTACAAAGACATTCTCTAACTCTTTGAGAAGAGGACCCCTTTATGAATCAATTGAAGAGGATTCCTCCAACTCTTCCAACACAAAGCAATCGCTACGATCTATCAGTTTATAATTATTTTTTATCTGCATTTTTTCATTCGTACCCTTAAAAACGAATTAACTTTAACTTAAAACGGTAGCGTGCAAAATAGGGGCCACATTTTTCGTCTCCGTAAGTTTCGGTTATACTTGGAGATCATATAGAAGAAAGCTAAATCATTCACATCATTATTCTCAATCGAACTTTGTATGGACGAAAACAATATATAGTTTCAATTTATAATAAAAATAAGCAAGAGCATAGTTGATAAACAATTTGTAAGACCACGGAAACCATTTCTTATGATAGACTTATTAATCACTTGATTTTGTTTTCCCAATATTTTTAGACTAATCGGACAGGTTTAGATGATATTTTCCCAATATTTTGTATTTTAGATGATATGGGAAACAAAACACTAAGGGGGCATTCTTCTTATGTAATCCTAGATCTATTTCCTTAGCCTTATCTTGAGTGGAAAGTCGGCGAACGAAATTCATTTGCCAAATTCCTGGGTTTTTTTTTGTGTGTGTGGGAAAGAGGGCTTTGACGGCGCCCTAGCCGGGATGGAGAATGTGATTTAGGGCGTGGATTCATTAAATCCGTAGATTTTGTAGAAAGTTATGTTTTTTTGTTGTTTTTTGTATGGATTTGAACTTTAGAGATTTCAAATCTCTAAACTCTACGGATATCAAATCTCTCATAATCAGAGAGATTCTATATCTTGATTCGTGAGATTTTTTTTCTCCTACTTTTTCTCTTTGTTTTATTTATTTATCATATTAAATATATTTATCAACAACGTTTTTAATATTTCTCGAACCACTCTAATTTTTTATTAAGAATAAACACGTTATTTAATATAAAAATTTTATTTTTATTTTTATTGAATGTTAACAATCACCGTTATCAAACAATAAACATTTTAAAATCTATTTTCAACAATCCGAAGAGTTAGAATTTTTAGATTGTTGACAATTTATAGATTTAAATTCATATTCTGCAAACGACCCCTAAAGAGTTTCATGTAAAGGGGAAAAGAGGAGAGAGCAAATAATAGCAAACAATTATTGGTAAATAAATTTAGAAAATGGAATTAAAAAATGAGTGGGCAATGTGAAGAAGGAACTTAAAACAAAAAAGAGAAGGAAAGTAGTCACTACGCTTATACTATACACCATTACTTGAATTGGATTATTGACCTGTCCTTTGGCAAAGTCCAAAAGAATTTATTTTGATTTATTATGAACCGTCGGATCAGATGAGAGGATGGCTTCATTTCATCATCCATCCTCATCATTTTCTGTGTATAATAAAAGTTGGGTTGAGGGGTCAAAATCGGTTGGATTTAATTTAAAGAACAATCCCCCAATTGAAATGCCGGTGAGTTTATTTGATTGATGTTTTGGATCAACTTATTTTTCAAAGTATGGGTGGGTAATGGTTTGGATCAACTTAGAATAATAGTATGGGTGGGTAATGGTTTGGTTCATATTGGATTACAAATTTAAGTGCAAGTTTTAGTTAAGTTGGATAAGATAAGATTAATGTATGATTTAATTTTATCTTGATTTTTTTTACTGGAACCTGTAAGTGATTTATTAATCAAGCGAAGCGGTTACATTGTCCTGCAACAGTTGATCAACAAGAATCACTGGTGGTCGATCCACCCAAACAACCCTCTCGTTCCACCTAGTCTCTGTATGAGTCATAAGATGGGCCGCTTCATTTGCTCCTCGGCTAATATGCTTCCATTCACCTCGCCATGATGCCAACAGTAAACGGCATATACTACGACACACACCAACCTCATCATGTTGCTTATCCGGATGATGCAACCGATATAAAAAAACAGCATCATTTGAAAATGATATGAAATTTATTTTCAGATCTTTCAATATCTTGTGTTATTTAAATCAAATGTCAATTAGCATAATATGAGAGTCTGTAAAAGACAGATTTGGTGTGTAAATCCTAACTACTTCCAATATTAACAACGAATTTAAGCACATAATATGACGAACGTGTACAAAGGATCAATTTTTGAATTCAACTTTCATAACATGAGACCGGATAGGGGATGCTAAGTGCTAACACACCTTAGTTGTAGCACCATGCTAACTTAATTCATTAAGGGTATTATAGAAAATATCCACTCATAGTAGCTCTCTTTCTCCAGTCTGTTCCATGGATTTGGTTTCATATGCAAATTACTTTTTAATACCTAAACTTAATAGATCTTAAGATTTAGTACCTACAAATAATTTTGTGTTGCATATAATTCCTAAAAATACCGATAACAATTATATTTTAGTACCTAATGTTTTATGTCTTAGATTTTGATACTTAAATTGTTTTAAAATTTACAAATATGTCAAAGTTTATGAGGTTTATGGTATGTTTTGAGAAACTTGTGGTATGCTTGATGAGGTTTCTAGTATGTTTTAAGAAATTTGTGGTATGTTTGTGAGGCTTCTATCTGTCTTCTTTATGGAACATGTGGTATGCTTTATTATGTTTATGGTTGCTTGAAGAAACTTGTGGTATGCTTTAATAAACTTGTGGTATGTTTTATGAGGCTTATGATATGTATCAGGGAACTCGTGGT